AAATTCACCCATGTTAAGAATACAGTTCAATGAGGGGGCTTTTTGCTCTTTTGTTTTTGGAGACAGGGTCTCTTGCCGCAGATTCCCAAGGGCAGGCATGTGCCACTACATTTTGCTTATATTATTCTTTCAGTTACATTAGGAAAGCATCAGCAAACTTTTTTTCGGCCATAGGGTAAATATTTTTGACTTCGGAAGTTCTGTGGGGAGTGGCTCAAGTGGTAGAGCACCTGCCTAGCAAGCGGGAGGCCCTGAGTTCAAACCAAGAAATTTTCAGCTTTGAGAGCTGTAGAGTCCTCATTGCAGTTACTTAGCTCTGCAGAAGTGTGATGAGCTCAGCCAGGGACAATTTGTAAATGAATGAGTTTAGCTGTGTTCCAATAAAACTTTATTTACAAAAGTAGGTGGTGGGCTGAATTTGCTGACCCTTGCTTGGGCTAGTGGAAGACAGGCTGGGTTCCAATTCCTCCTTACTGAGTCCTCATAGGCCCCTGTTCAGTGACTTCCCTAACCTCAGTTTTCTCTTCTGTAGAATGGGGAGGTTCATGCTCTGCTCTAAACTGCCATTTGAGGTTGCATAGAGGTCAAATGAGCTCATTACTGAGGGAGCCCTGAGGGAGGAACAAGCAGGAATAAGAGCCTCCTGAAGATCTTTGTTATTTCTGCCAAGGAATGGAAAGAGAAACCCATTGATCCAAGCTAGCTAGTGCACCCATGGGCACCAGTGTCCCAGGGGGTTATCAGGTGGGAGATGGGACCCACAGGCTTGGCACTAGACCCTGGTCCTTGCCTCCTGGAGGCCCTTCTCGTGAACCCACGTTAAAAGAGCCATGGGAGGAACTGGGCAAATGAGTCTCTGATGGGCTGTTCTTCTAAGGCTCAGGGCCCTGGAGCTTTGTGCCAGGGCCTCTTTCCTAGCAGTCAGTGCCTGGGGCTGGGATGTGTTGATAAACTGCAGCACTGTGCTCAGGCCCTTTCCTCAGTTGGGAGCATGGTCCTCCTGCCTGTTTCTTGGCAGGCTCTACTCAGGCTATGGGCTATCTGGGTGGACAGCACCTCAATGTTGGTCATTTGAAATAAGGTACATTTTTTGAGAGCAAAATGTAACTCAGAAAGATTTGCCATGTGCCAGGCCCTATCCCAAGCATTTAAGGTGTATTAATTCATTAATTCATTTAATCCTCACAACACTAATTGTAGACACTATTATTCTTTCCATTTTATAGGTGAGGAAACTAGGGTCCAGAGAGATACTTATCTGAGGTCACACAGCTTTGGAATGGTAGAGCTTTGGATGCTAAATATGATGGAATGGGCTGCCCCCCTGGTCCAAAATAGGTCCATGTTATCCTCTGTTTATTTCCTTGTCAGCTGTAAAACTTTCAGATCCTTGTCACATGGGAGCACGAAAAGGGGAGTGATTTGGGGACGGACAGACATTCCCTCCAAGAGAATGGCACCGAGTCAGGTTTGAGAGCTATTATCTGGGAATCATAAAGACGCCCAGATTCACTGAGGTTGGGTTTGTCAAGAGCACACTCCAAGCCCAGGAACAGAGGGAGGGGTGGACTCACCTGGGGAAAGACCCCAGAAAACTGGCCTGCAGTACTGGGATTTGAACTCAGATCCTCCTGTTTACTAGGCAGGAACTTTATTACTTGAGTCACTCCACTACCCCTCAAGTGCTGCTTGCAGGAAGCTCACACTCACCATCTCTCTCCTCTTCTTTGTTGGCTTCATTCTCAAGTAGGCTTCTCCCCTTGGGAACAAAGACCTTCCAGCAGCTTACATTCAACAGGTGGCACGCTGTGCTATGGCAAACCTTTTTCCCACCAGTTGCCGCAGAAATCTCAGGGCTCTTATTGGGCCACACTGGGTCATGTGCCCACCCTCGAACCAATGGCAGTAGCCTGGGGCAGGGACCATTCATTGGCCAGGTCTGGCCCCACTTAAGGACTCAGAGAAAGCATGCCCCCTACTGGAGTAAGAGGTAGTGCAACTGGACAAAGCCAGTTTTTTTTCACCCTGAGGAGCAAGGGAGGGGAGTTAGACTTGGCCTGCAGGATCTGCAATCCACCCTCAACCCCACCATGGACCTCCGTGAGGGCTTGCCATGGACTTGGACGTGAGCTTTCTCTGCCTCCTTTTCCCAGCCCACCTCTCACTTGGGGACATAGGGCCTTCTTGCCAATGGTGACCTCTTCCTTGGCCTATTGCTCCAGTTCTCTAGCTGCCCTGCCCCCACCTCCAGTGTGGCCTTTTCCAACTCATGCTATTCACTGGCAACACCGTCCAGCCAAGTCCTAGCTCAGGAGCTGCCAGTCACTCTTTCAGGCCAATAGAAGAAAGTGAATGCCTTAGCTCCTTGCCTGGGGTTCCTCCATCATCCTAGGAGCTTCCCTGACCCCTGCTGTCAAAATGTGACTCCCCTGATTCCAAACTATGCTAGGCCTCTTTCTCAGTGCTTTGGATCATTTTCTGCCTAGTGTGTCATTACTGCCCAGGATCCAGCAAATGCCCCTAAATCCTGCGTTTCCAGCTCTTGTGCAATGACTGCTAGAGGAAGTCACACAGCTCCACAGAGGACAGAGAAGCCAAGAAACACTGAGAAAGTAAAACAGAACAAGGGAGACAGACTGGGGGATGAAGATGTGGGTGGTAGTCTGGAAGGAAGGAAAGTGGACTGGAGGGTGAGAACTAGGGAACAGAAAGGAGGACAGAAACAGAAACAGAGAGCACGTAAACTTGAGCCAGCCCACTACAGCTTTTTTTTTTTGTTAAGCAAACAAGGTCCCTCTGATTTGTGTTTTGTCCGGCTCAACTTCCCATATCAGGACTTGATTTAGCTGAGCAACCAATTCTGGTAAAAATACTGGAACATGTTGAAAAGGACTGGCGGGGAGGAGGAGGAGAAGCAGACAAAACAAAATAGACCATTTGTCTCCAGGTCAGTCAACAGTGTGAGCCTCCTCCTAGAACAATCTTCCCACCCCCAGTCTGAGGTGGCTCACCAACGCCAGAGCCAGGTTTCAAATGGAAGAGGAAGTGAGACTGCAGGAGGGGAAGAAAAAGTTCATGGGGGGTGGGGGAAAGGAGTGCCAAGAAGAAAAGGCAGGAAGATTCCAGTTCTAGCCCAACCACATGACCAGATATAACAAATCATGACAGCCTGCCCATCTCCCAGAGCCCTTTCTGTGAGCCTGAGCCACCCAAAGTTGGGGAAGTAGCAAACTAGAGTCCTTGCAGGATTTCAGACCTGGGGTATGTCAGGTGTCACTTTTTTTTTTTTTTAAATCTATGCAGTGCTGGGGATGGAATTCAGGGCTTCACCCGTTAGGCAAGTGCTGTTACTGAGCTATACCCCAGCCCAAGGTGTGGCTTTTAGACAGGGACTCTGCCTGGATACGTAAGTTAGACAAGGGACAATCCTGCCAGTTCAACTGTATGGTTTTTTTGATACTAGGGCTTGAATTCAGGGCCTAAACCTTGAGCCACTCCACCAGCCCTTTTTTTGTGATGGGTTTTTTCAAGATAGGGTCTTATGGACAATTTGCCCACCAGACTGGCTTTGAATGGTTATCTTCCTGATCTCTTGCCTCCTGAGCAGTTAGGATTACAGGCGTGAGTCACCGTACCTGGCTTCAGCCAGTGCTTATTAACGGCAAGTATCATGACTGTGGAAGGCAACAGCCCCAGGTGCAAGAAACACACCAGGACCTAACAGACAGGGCTGTGCAGGGGTGCAGAGAGACTGACGCAACTGGAGAGGGATATCCTCACCATCCACCCGAGTTTTCTCTTTATTATAAGCAACAAAAACAGTGTACTCCTGATTTGACATTTTTTATTTTCTGAAATGGAACCATTGTACATTGTACAAACCATACCTACTGATGGAATAAATAAGTGAAAAATTATACTGCTGTACAACACACCAAAAAAAAAAAAAAAGGAAAAAAAACACGTAACAGTGAAAAAAAGGTTTTTATACCTCTAACCAGGTCCTCAGCGACAATGGACATTCCAAACCATGACACTGTTTGATGATGGGAGGTCACCACCCTATAAGAATCGGTCAACAGCCTGGGTTGTGGGTGTAAGTGCCAGCACTTTGTGGAATGTGTAGCCGCAGTTTCCCCATCTTTAAGTTTTGGGGGAAGTAAGTTTGCCCTGGGAGCCCTTTAGGCCACGGGGCCTGATGTCCGCGGAAGGCATTCACTTAGGATCCCCTGCCCCTGGCTTGGCCGGCTGAAAGGTCTTAGATTCTGTAGTGGGGACAGGGGGCGAGGGGTGCAGGGGTTGGGGAGCAGCGGCCCTGGGGAGTGGGCCGCAGCAGGGAAGGAAGCACATTGGATTTTGCAGTCTGACCATTCCGCACGGAGGAAGGCCTTCCTGGCCAGCGTGGAATGCAGGGCTGCTGGCGCTTTGCCTGGCGTGGCCGTAGAGGGGCCCAGCTGGTCCCCACTGCCGGCCCATTCCTACCTTCAGGCACTTCAGAGAAAAACTAATGACAGCCTTGGTGCTGTAGATGTCGCCATCTTCATCCTTAACTGCGCCAGCTCCCCTTGCCTGTCCAGAGAGGCTGTGGTGGACAGAAGAGGCGCAGGTGACCCCAGCCATGTTGTCTCCATGGATACGTGTGTTGGGTTCTCCTTCAGCTGTCTATGTTGTAACCTCTCGTTTCCCAAAAAAAGAAATAAATATCCAAACTCATCTTTCACCAAAATGGAGTTTCACCATAAGAAAAACGTTGCCCTAACTCTATAGGATCTGGAGGTAACGCTGCCTTGACCTTGAAATATGTTGAGAGGTCACGAATCTAGATGCTTCCCTGTCAAGACGCAGAACATAGTTCTCCATGGAACTGACCGCCTGAGGGGCAAAATTGATAAGTACAAGGATTTTTTTTTTTTTTTTTTTAAGACAGAAACCTTTCTGGCATTGTTAACTTCAACATTAAGATTTTCAAAGTTTTTTTTTTTTTTTTTTTTTTTCCCTTATTTCAGGAGACATTTTGTATGAGGTATTTGAAATTCAGGAACATTTCAATTCTTCTTGAAGTGCAGGAAATAGATAAGTTCCTTAAAAAATATATATATAGGAGCTTCACCCTCAGAAACTCTTCAGAAAATGGAACCTGGCAGACACTTCCCATGGTGGTCGGGACAGAGAGCCACACATCAAAGGTGGTACCTGAATATGCACCGATTAGCAAAAAACAAAAACAAACAAAAAACAAAACCCACAGACCCTCCCTCCCCACCCAGTAACACACAACTCAAAGGGAGTCAGAACTCCAGTGCAGTAAAGAAAGCTTAGGAAAAGGTTTAAGGTCTGAGGAGTCTGTATATTAATTAAGAGCAAACCAGGCCTCAGAACTCAACAGTCAGGCAGTTCGTCCAAGGGGGCATCTCCACTGAGTGAGAGGAAGCTGTCCTGGCACAGGTGCAGGCGGGATGGGGGAAGGGGAGACTCGGTCGCTCCTTTCTGGAGGGTGTGCAAATCTTTCCAATTCCTTGGTGCCTTGTTTCTGGCCTTTTAAGGCCCAACCATCAAGGCCCACTCCCCGACGGAGACAGATGTCGTACTGGAAATGAGATTCCATCCACCTGTTGGCTCTGAGAGTCAGAACATGACCCAGGAGTAAGTGGGTTTCCACGGAGGACACTCTTGCCTGGGCTTGGGGAGGCGGAGCCAGAGGGCAGCAGGTTTCCATGGATTTGAAATCCATGCAACGTCCCATGAGAAAGTTCAGCGCCAGCTATTCCTGCCACCTGCTCCTAGCCTCCCTGGCCCTGTATTGTCTTAAGAGGCAAACTTGCAGTCAGCCAGAGAAGCCATTTTGTCTTCAGAGGTCTGGGAGAAAGCAGTGATGAGGTGGTGGTGACGGGAGGGGTCACAGGGTGGAAGTGCCAGAGAATCAAAGGGCTTTGCATGTCCACCTGGGCCACTGTGGGCTGCAGACCCCCAGTCCCATGGCCCTAGGAGGTGAGAGCATGGCCTGGACAGAGGAGGCCAGCCCTTGGGGACTGGGCCCTGACACCTGCAACTCCTGGGGCCCTGGAGGCTGGTGCCCACTCCGTCCAGGCCTCAGGGTGTGCCCAAGCACCGGCCCCCTGAAACCAGGCCAGCTGAGGGGCACCTGTTCTCCTGTGGCTCTGCCCTACAGTCCTGGGGCAGGGAGGAGAGAGGTGAGTAAGGTGGCAGCTGTCGCCCCAACCAAACCAAGAGGGCACTTTGCAGAGAGATGCAAAACCAGGAAACATGCCAGAGGTCACCTCAAGGGCACAAGGCACAAAAAAAGAAAGCGGAAGGAATTGGTTGAACAGTAAAAAGCCCCGACAAAAAGTGAATTCCTGGTACCACCCTCAGTTAGCTTATTTCATTAAATAGAGAAGTGGGGGGATACAGCAGCAACACAAACGTAATCTTGGCTTCCGAGACAGTGTGCAGACACTCCTGAGCTGTCAACCCGCCTCCCCAAGGACAGTCACTTCAAGGTTCGAGTGTTTTTGCTTCACAGCAGAGTTCTTCAGTGTCTGAGAAGTTACGCCGTTCTAGGTTTTCTTGGATTTGCACTTGGTAAACTTGAAATGTTAGTAGTTCTGTTCGCACCCAAGAGAATCGCTTGGGCAATGTTGTTCTAGAATTAAGCCTGCTGATGTACCTGCCATGAAACATGGACCAGAGGTTTCAACTCAGTGTCTACATCTCTTCGGAGTTCTGTTGAGAGGCCTCCAGCTTCATCTTCTTAGAGGGTGGCACTCCTTCCAAATCCTGAAAAGAAAAAGGAAAAGAGATACAGGTTAATGATCTGGGAGAGTGGTTCAGGCCAGAGTAGAAGCCAAGGGTTGGCCCAGGAAGGAAGGAAGGGACAGAGCCCAGCCAAGCACAGCATCACCTTGAACTTCATCTACACTGTTCCTTGCCCCCACACTCCACCCAGCATAAACCAGGTTTCCCTGTGGCCAGTCTTCCCATCTAGTAATTACTTGTGCACAAGTTTCAGGTTTACCTGTCCAAGTGCTAAGGCTGCTCTGTCTTTTCTGGTACTGGGGTTTGAACTCAGGGCCTCATGCTTGCTAGGCAGATGCTGTATCACTTGAGCCACTCCACCAGCCATTTCTATGTTGGGTATTTTCACGACAGGGTCCTGTGAACTATTTGCCCAGACTAGTCTCAAAGAGCGATCGTCTTGATCTCTGCCTCATGAGTAGCTAGAATTACAAGTGTGAGGCACTGGTACCCAACTCCGTGTTCCTCTTAAGATGAGTCTAAAGTGTTTATAGTGACAAACTGTAACAGTGGCCTTGGCGAATGACACGTTTCTTCTGCATTGGGCTCAGGCTTGGTGTTTTATCCACATTCTTTCATCTAATCCTTGCTGTAGCCCAAAGACAGGCTGTTCCCTGTTTGGTCAGGGCAGACTGAGGCTCAGCAAAGGTAACTTCCCGGCTACTAAGTAACAGAGCAGGATTTGAACCTAGACCAGACTCTGGGATGTTTGCCCTTTACCACTGGGTCCATTTTTGCACCAAAGAATCCAGACCAGATTTTGACACTTGGACTTGGAGTCACAAGAAAAGGTGATGGTTTTGTGGATGCCACCATCTAGCTAAGGCTGGGATAAAGGACCTCACCTCCTCTACCTGAGAGGCTCCTTGAGGACAGGGCCCACATGTTTCCCTTACCACCCTGGCCCTGGTGCCTGGGGCAGAATAGGACGAATGGTCACTGAACCTGCTTGATGGACGAATGACAGTTCCAATTGTCCAATGAGAAAACAAAAATAAGAGACACCTTCTAATAGATCCCTGATGACACCCCCAGGCTCCTGGCTGCTCTGGTCCAGCTGCTGAGGCCTGGCTGCAGGTACCTGAGAGATTGTAGATGTCTCTGCCACAAGCCCCGACTCTGCAGATGGCTGCCGTTCTGCTTTCTCTGAGCTGTTCAGCGAGTTTTCCATTGATGACTGTGAGTTCTGCTCGTCAGAAGTATCTGAGGGAAAAGCAAGACAACAGAAGCTGTTGTCAGATGCAGGAGATGTGGTGACAGATGGCCCAGTACTAAAAATATGTGGAGCTAGGTAGTTTTGTGGCTTTCAACTTTTAGGGCTAGATATTTAAGGGGCCTGGAAAGTTTCTCATTTGTTAGTGAGGCAGGTGTAAGCAGCCAGGCCACAAAGCCTGTTGCAAGTTGGTCTGTAGGTCTTCAGTCCTCCCGTGTACCCACTGTCTACTTGCCCAAAAGAAGCTCACTTTACCATGCTTCGAGTGCCTGTTGCCCTCTGCTGGAAATAACATGCCCTAGCAGTCACAGCCATCTGCTCTTTTCTCTGCAGCCGGGCCAAGGCCAAAGAGGCTTCTGGTTTCTGTACAGAGGGAGCTGACTCTTTGTAAACATTTCTTTAAAGCATGGTGCTGGTGGCTTACACCTGTAGTCCTAGCCACTCAAGAGGCAGAGATCAGGAGGATTGTGGTTTGAAGCCAGCCTAGGCAAACAGTTTGCAAGACCCTATCTTGAAAAAACCCATCACAAAAAAGAGCCGGTGGAGTGGCTCAAGGTGTAGACCCTGAGTTCAAACCCCACTGCAAAAACAAAACAAAACAAAACAGAAACATTTCTCTTAATAATATGGTGCTTCTCTGATTGTCAGAGAGCAATGATTAATCATGGCAGGAAAAGAAAACACAGAAAAAAAAAGTTAAAATCAATTGTTATCTCACACTCCTTAGAGATACCACTCCACCAACATTTCAAAAGATTTATTTCCATCTTTCTAGGTTGTTTCCCTATTTTCATATTTCTCCAAACAGAGATCACACAGGGGGGTTTTACATCTTTACAAATTCTCTGAACACAAGAGTGTACAAGATAGCTGCACAGCACTCTGTTGCACAATTACTTAGCTAATAATTCGTGTTATTGGGCTGGTGGAGTGGTTCACATGGAAGAGAGCCTGCCTAGCAAGCACAAGGCCCTGAGTTCAAACCCCAGTGCCACCAAAAAAATAAATTCATGCTATCTGGGTTACTACCTCTTTTTTTTTTTTTTTTTTTAGTACTGGGGTTTGAACTCAGGATTTCACACTTGCTGCTTGCTAGGCAGGCGCTCTTACCACTTCAGCCACTCCACCAGCCCTGGGAAGGGACAACAAAATAACATCTGGGTTTGACATGCTGCACGCAAGGCCTAAACAACCTAAACACTAAAGAATGCCTAAGCAACCAGTCTTCCCTCCCTTCTTCTCTCCCTTCCTAGACAGTGGCTGGCCATGGCCTGAGGGCAGGAGCACAGAGCCTGTAGCAGGAGCAACAAGGTCCTTTCTCCAGGAAGGCTGAGCAGAGACGAAGAGTTGCTGTCAGTCACTACTGTTACTACCCAAACTGAGCGCTATGCCAAGAGCCCTGACGGCTGCCAGGGTTGCTGTGCTGAGCTCTGAGCTGAGCTTTTTTATCATCACAGGAACAGGTCAGGTCGACCCTCATCCCGGCTGGGTTCCGCCTGGGATGGTGGGTGGGTAGGGTGGGGGGGTACACAGTGTTTGGAGACACATCTGGGTTTCAATACTGCCTCTGGCCTGTATATTCTGCTACTGGCCTGTTGAGGACCAGGTGCTCTCAGTCCCCAACCCCTCTGTAAAAATAAGGTTGACAATAGCCACACTGTTGAATGGCTATGAGGATATAATGAAATGACATGAAAAGATACCAAACTGTATAAACCTGAACTTTTTGGGATATTTTTTGGTTTTACCTCTAAAATTCATGTTGATGGCAGTTCCTCAAAAACTTAGCTAGCATAAGACCCAGCATCTTCACTCCTAGGTATCCACCCCCATGAACTGAAAACAGGGGCTCAACAGATTCTTTCTTTTTGGCAGTACTAGGGTTTGAACTCAGGGCCTTGTGTTGCAAGGCAGGTGCTCTACTGCTCGAGCCACGCTCCCCTCCCCCCCAGCCCTTTGCGCTTTAGGTTATTTTTCAGATAGGGTCTCACCTAGGCACAGTAACTAGGATTACTAGCAGGAGCCACTGGTGCCCAGCTAGGCTTAGAAATCTTTTGTGTGTGTGTGTGTGTGTGTGTGTGTGTGTGTGTGGTACTGGGGTTTGAACCCCAGGCCTATACCTTGAGCCACTCCACTAGCCCCTCTTTTTGTATGTGATGGATTTTTTTGAGATAGGGTTTCGTGAACTATTTTAACTGGGCTGGCTTCAAACCGTGATCCTCCTGATCTCTGCTTCACTTACAGGTGTGAGTCACAGGCGCTCGGGTTTTTAGGCTTAGAAATCTTAACAGGCTGGTCACCTGGAGATTCGTGCTGCCCCTCTCTGCTCAGCAGAGTCCAGAGGCCTCCAAAGAGTGGCAGGGAGCATGGGTGTGGGGGTGGGGAGCTGACTATGGAGCTCACAGCGTGTTCAAGGGCCATGCAGCAGCCTAGTTTTGAGTGTGCTGGTGCTGGAACTCACCCAGGGGAAATTATTTTCCTGGACCTAAATTTAGTCCAGGGAGCTCGGACATTATGTCATTCTGTGAACTCACTCAGCAGTAAACAAGTTCAGAGTAAGGTCAACAGCTAGTAGCTGACCTGCCCTTGTCCTTGTGCCTCTGCCACTGGTGCTCGGGCAGGTAGGTGCAGACTGGGTGGGATGGGGTGTGTGGGGGCAACAGGTGAAAATGGGGGAGGTACAGGAGCACTGCTCCCAAACACAGCTCCTGCAGCTAAGTCTCAGCTGGCCTTCAGGGCAAAGGAGATGCAGACCTCAAACATGGGAAAAACAAGACTTTGGCTAAGACTTAACCAAGACAGAAATGAAGCAGGACATGGCTGTGAATGTGCCCACACATGCCCCTGCACCCCAGTACCTCAGAGGGCAGACAGGAAGCCTGCAGGGCTCCACAAGCCAGTCCTCTGAGCCAGACTCAATTGAGCACTCTGTAGACCTTCCTGCTGTTTCACTCCTTGACACGACCCACAACGGAGGTGACTTGTATTTGTCCCATTTTAGAAACAAGGAAACAGGAAGGTGCACAGGAGGTGATGTTGCCTGCCCAAGGTCACTTAGCCAGTAAATGTCAGTCATGAACTCTGTCTCAGCCCCTCCACCTTTCACCTGCAAAGTCACCTGACCAGGAAGGTGCTGGGAAGCTTGGTGGGTGGTCTATGACTGTGGGGACCATAAAGAAGGGTGAGAGGTAATGCTCACATACCATACATAGCAAAAGGCTTTGCAAAACCATTAGGACACTCAACTAGGGGCAATTCCCTGATTCCCTGTTGGGGACATTGGGTAATGTCTGGAAACATTTTTGGTGTCACAACTGAGAGAGGAGGGAGCTACTGGCATCCAGTGGGTGGAGAGCATCCTTTATGCGGATACTCCTCACAGCCCCCCAAAGAATTATTCGGTCCCAGTGTCAACAAGGCTGAGGCTGAGAACACCTGCTCTAGCCGAAAGCCATTCGACAGCAGCAACTACACACATTTCAGTCCTATCTTTTTTTTTTCTTCCCGAGCCCCACCCACATTTTAACTGTGACTAAACAGTTCCTCTGCCAGGCCTGGCTCCCGATCAGACCCCCTTGAACCTGAGCAAAGGTACAGAGATATGTGTCTGCACACATCCCTGCAGGACCACATGTTTAAAAAGAAAGAGAACAACCTAAATGCCATAAATGCAGGGACTGTTTAAATAAATTATGGGGCATCCAGAAACTGCAGGGCCAGTAGTTGGTAAAGAGAATGAAACAAACCTCTTGACCTAACACAGAACAAGCTGAGTGATGCATTGTGATCGCTAGTGAAAGTGCTTCTGTGTTTGTTTTTGCAGTGCTGGGGATGGCACCCTGTGTCCATGCTAGGAAAGCACTGTGCCACTCAGCCATGCCCCTACTCCTAAAAGTGTCTTTTTTTTTCGTGGGATGGAGGTTTGAACTCAGGGCTTTACACCTTCAAAGCAGGAGTTCTATCACTTGAGCAACACCTCCAGTCCATTTTGCTCTGGTTATTTTGGAGACAAGGTCTCTCAAACTATTTGCCTGGGCTGGCTCGAATCTCAATCTTCCAGATCTCAGCCTTGCATGTACCTAGTATTATAAGTGTGAGCCACCAGCACTTAGCTCCTGCCCCCTTTTAATATTTACTCATCCTTCAAGCCCAGGACAGTTGGCACCACTTCCAGGAAGCCTTCCTGGAGGCCCCAAGCTCCCTCTTCTTACAGTGTCTCATCACAGCAGGGAACATGAACCCAAATGTTCTTTTAGGGGCTAGGCAATGCCATGGATGAGTTAAGACACAGATAAGTTTTGTAAAGAAATACTCTTTTTTCAAAGAAATATTTATCTCCTCAATTTTCTTTATAAAACACAACCTTTTCCTTTTCCACTTTGGATAGAGAAATGGGTTCAAGAAACATCTTAATTTCTCGGAGTCTAGGATGAGAAAAACTGGTCATGGATAATGTACACAACTGTCCTCTGGTCTTGGCGTGGGACAGGCCGTAGGGAGTGATGGGGAGTGTAGTAACTGGAGAATGCAAGCCTTCTCACCATCCCTGTAGGGTGGCTACTTCTCTGCTCTAGCTGGTTGCTATTGTACCGGAGAACTGGGCCAAAACCACCAGATCTTCTGATTTTTCCAGAGAAGCTAGAAATGCATCTTAAGTAAAATTACTCAATTTTTAAATTTTGATATTACATTCAAATTAAAAGACAAATACCCCTGGGCTCCATGGTCACATGTAAGACCACATGCTGGATCTAGCCTGAGCCCTGTTCTTGTAGAGTAGGCAGCAGGGTGCAGCTGTGACCAAAGCCTGGGAGTTAGACAGGATGAACCTGTGCCAGAGGATGGTCTTTCTCTAGAGCCATGCCGGATCTCCCTGAGGTGCACACAACAAGACCCAGGGAGCCCTCCAACTCAGGGGTCCCTGTGGTGCCCCAAACCCTACCCACACCTGCTCCTCTTCTATCACCCTCTACACATGCCTGGAGTCACCCACACACCCCTGCCAACACACACTCTCACCTTCTCACCTGAATCTTTAAAATACACCTTCACTTTACACTATCAGAATGCTTGCTCCTTTTTGTTGTGGTTTGAACAGGAAGTGTCCACAGGTTCATGTGTTGAAGACTTGGGCCCAGCTGGTGGCACTAGTTTGAGGAGGTGGTGGAAACTTTAGGAGGTGGGGCCTAGCTGGAGAAAGTAGGTCACTGGGGGCTGCTTTTGAAGGGTATCTTGTCCCCAGTCCTTTCCTGTCTCTCTCTGCTTCCTGGCAGCCTCTGCCATACACTCCTGCAGCCATGATACCCTGCCTTACCTCTGGCTCAAAGCAATGGATCCAGCTGACTCTGAACTGAAAACTTTGAAACCATGAAACCATGAGCCAAAATAAATCATCCCTTGATTTAAATTGCTTATATTTGTCACAGTCAAAGTCTAACAAAATTTTCTGAGGTGCAATAATGGTACAATAGCTGTCTTTAAAAAAGACCACCACACCCCTGGGTATGGTGGTACATGCCTGTAATCCCAGTTCTCAGGAGGATCACAAGTTCCAGATCAGCATGGGTTACATAGTGGCAGCTTGTCTCAAAAAAAAACCAAACATACATACAAAACTAAAGTAAACTATAAAAGAGAGGCCTACTAAAGTGTTTAGGGATGAAATGTCCTGAGGTCTACAACTATTTTATTCCCCTTTGGTGATACTGGGTTTCAAACTCAGGGCCTTGCACTTGCTAGGCAGGCCTCTACCACTTAAGCCAGGCCTCTAGCTCTTTTTGCTCTGGTTATTTTGGTCTCACTTTTTGCCCAGACTGGCCCAGTGCAGTATCTTCCTATTTCACACTTTCCACTGGGATGACAGGTGCATGACACCATGCCAGCTTTCTTTTTCCATTGAGATGGGATTTGGCAAACTTTTTTGCCTGGGTTGCCCTAGAATTGAAATCCTCCCAATCTCAGCCTCTCGAGTAGCTAGGATTACAGGTGTGAATCACTGGTGCCTGGCTTACAACTTATTTTCAAATGGACCCAAGAAAAAAAATGTATAGACAGAAAAAAGAAGAAGAATTTGGAAGAACCCCACTGAAGTAACAATTGCCAAATTTAGCTGGGCGCCACTGGCTCACGCCTTTAATCCTAGCTACTCAGGAAGCAGAGATCAGGAGGATCACAGTTCAAAGCCGACCTGAGCCAACAGTCTGCAAGACTGTTTTTTTTTTTTAAAAAAAAAACATCACAAACAAGGGCTCAAGGTGTAGGTCCTGAGTTCAAACCCCAATATTCAAAAAAAAAAACCAAAGAGCCATATGCACACTCACATTCTCCCTCCACAATCAAAGCCCTTCCACTCCTACACAGACGACTGCGGCAGTCTTTCCACGGGGTTCCAACTTTCACCTGGCCTCAGATCATTTGCTCTAAATTCTTTTGGTGGTGGTGGTGGTGATATTTGAGGATGAACTCAGGGCTTCATACTTGCCAGGCGGGAGCTCTACCAGATGAGCTACATCTGTGGTGCTGCTCTCAGTTCTTTAGGCGATGTCCCCCAGTGGCATTACTCACCATAAAAACCCAGCTCCGTGCTGAGGCCTTATGAGCTCCCCGCTCCTCTCTGACCCTATCTGACTTTTCCAGACCCTCACTCACTCTTCTCTAGCCATGCAAACCTGCTCCTGCCTTATGGGTTTTGCACTGTCAGTTCCTCTACCTGCAATGCTCTCTCAGCTGGCTCAGTGGCTTGCTCACGTGCCTACTCTGAGCCTCGTCTGCTCCATACTGTATCTCACATGATTTTAGAGGGTGGCCTTTCCTGGTCATCCTCTGTAAAATCACACACAAGCCCATTCAGCTAGACTCCCCATTCCCTTTTTCTACTTATTTCATTATTATCATTATTGTTATTTACTTATTTTTTTGTGGTACTGGGGTTTGAACTCAGGGCCTCAAACTTGCTAGGCAGTTACTCTACCCCTTGTGCCATACCCCCAGCCCTTTTGTTGGGCATTTTTGAGATAGGGTCTCACTTTTTTTGACCTGGGCTGGTCTTGAACCATGATCCTCCTGAGGTCCATCTCCCCTGTAGCTAGGATTACAGGTGTGAGCCACTGGCGTCCAACTTTTTTTCTGTTTTATAATTCTAGTATTTTCCAAATACTAGATTTTTTTTTTCCCCCTTTTTGGAGTTAGTGGGGTTTGAACTCAGACCCTGTGCTTGCTATGTAGGAGCTCACTTGAGCCATGTCCCCAGTCCTTTTTGCTTTAGCTTGATTTTGTAGATGGGGTCAAGGTCTTGCCTGGGTTGGTCTCACACTGCTATCTTTCTTTCTCTGCCTCCTGAGTAGTTAGAATTACAGGTGTGTGCCACCATGCCTGTCCCCTAGATTGTCTTGGTTTTCTTTCTTTCTCTTTTCTTTTTTTTTGGTGTGACTGAGGTTTGAACTCAGAGCTACATGCTTGCAAACAGGCACTCTATCACTTCAGGTCCTGTACTGTCTTATTTTTTAATGTCACAATGAAAATATATGCTCTAGGCCTTACCTTTCTTCTACTGTCACCATCTGGGGCTGGCACAAGGCAGGGTCTCCTTTAACTATCTGTTCTCTGACTGACTGCAGGCTTGCTGGAGGACAGCCCCTCACATCCCAGCCCTAGTGGGCACATACCTTCAGTCCCAGGGTGCTCCTTTCCATCAGCCTGCACTTCGTCCATCTTGGCTTCAGTACCATCGCTGGGCACAGCTGTGTTGGGCTCAGGAGCAGGACTGGAGTTGCTGCTGTTCTCCTGTTTGATGGGGGAGGCATCTGCTATAGAGCTCTGGTTGCTGTTATCGTCTGTGTGGGAGAAGAGAGCACAGGATGACATCCTGCAGCTGCTGGAGGCAGGAGGGGGGTGAGGCTCAGAGCCCACAGCCTCACAGGATGTTCCTCCAGGAAGGATCTGGGTACTTCCTCCTCCTGACCATCCAGGGCTATGCCACATGTTCTGTGAGGCAAAGGATTCTGGGAGTGGGCCCAACCTTCCTCTGAATGGTTCATTGGAAGGAGAGCATTGTTTGGAGCCACATATAGGCGGTGGCCTGACATGTTTAAAATCTCTGGAGAGCACCTGAGGCCTAATTGTGGGTAGAGAAAACCAGACATTTTGTGCTGGCCATAAGGCAATATGAAGTACATAGCATGATCCAGTATTGCCAGAATGTTCCATTCAACCTCATGAATTTCTAGACCAACTTCTCGTTTATGCAAAATAAAAGGGAGGCAGGGACAAGGTAGCAACAAGAGGCAGGAAATTCCACAAGAAAGTAGACCAATGTCATCAGGTACCATTAGAAAAAAAGGGTTGGGGATGGGTGCTGGTGGCTGATGTCTGTAATCTTAGCTACTCAGGAGGCAGAGATCAGGAGGATCATGGTTCAAACCCTGCCCTGAGCAGATAGTTTGTGAGACCCTATCTTGAGAAAACCCATCACAAAAAAGGGCTGGTGTAGTGGCTCAAGGTAAAGGCCCTGAGTTTAAGCTCCAGTACCACCAAAAAGAAGAAAAGGACTGGAGATGCAGCTCAGTGGTACAGCATTTGCCTACTAGCATACACGAGACCTTGGATTCTATTTGCAGCACAGCAAAAATAAAATAAAATAAAATAGCACGCAAAAAAAAAAAGGAGGGAGAAGCAGGAAAGATTATCACAGATTAAAGAAACTTAAGAGACCTAAGTACTAAATATGATACATGGAAATTATTTGGATCTCGTTTGGAATGTGCCAACTGTAACACATTTTGGAATAATTGGGGAATTTGCATATGGTCTGGATTTTAAAAGCTATTAAGGAATTATTGTTAATTTTGTTAGAAGTGATACTGGCACAGCGGGGATAGGAAATGTCACTCGTTGGCAACGCACACTGAACTCAGTAGGTACAGTCTCTAACATGATTCAGGAAATGTACTTTAAAATGCTTCAGCACAGGCTGCAGACAACTGTCAGGGCTCCCTGACCTTCACACTCAAGAGCTGTGTATTTTTTTTTATGTAAATTACATGTCAATTAAAAAACACATTAACAACACAGATGCAGCAAATATGGCCTGGTGTTCATGAAAAGGAAGTGGGGATCTGTGGGGCTCCTCATACTGTTTTTCTACTGTTCTCCACCATGAAACTTCTCATGATAAAAAGAAAAAAGGGAACAGAGATAACTGGGCAGTGGCCTTCATGGTTGGGCTAGTGGTGGAGCAAGAGGGGAGGGCACACCTCCTATTGTCCTGCACTCTTTACATAGACACAGAAAATCATTTTATTTATTTTATTGTTTTCCAGTGGTGCTGGGGTTTGAACGCAGGGCCTCACGCTTGCTAGGCAGGCGCTCTACCACTTGAGCCTCTCTGCCAGCCCTTGGAGAATTATTTTAAACTGCAGATACCCAAGTGAGAAAGAGGGTACAGAGACACCCCAACAGTTCTGGATATCTACTACATGCCAGGCACTGAGCAAGACTGTTGACAGTTATCTCTGTTTTTTTGTTGTTTGTACTGGGGTTTGAACTCAGGCCCTCACTCTTGCTAGGCAGGCGCTCTACGACTTTAGCTGAGATAACATGCATGAGCCACCATGCTTGGCGGTTTTGTTTTTTTGAGACTGGAACTCACTATGTAGTCTAGCTGACCTTGAACTCACAAGCCTCTTGCCTTGGCCTACTGAGTGCTGAGATTATAGGCGTTTGCCACAACACCCAGTAAATTCCAGTTCGTTCATTCATTCATTCATTCATTTTTTGGTGCTGGGAATCAAACCCAGGGCTTTGTAAATGCTAGACAGGTGCTCTGCCACTGAATTATATTCCCCAGCCTCTTCATTTTTTTTTTTTTTGATGGGTCTGGGGTTTATTTTTTATTTTTTCTCTCTTTCTTTTTTTTTTGGGGGGTGGTATTGGGGTTTGAACTCAGGGCCCCACACTTGTTAGGCAGGCACTCTACCACTTGAGCCATTCTGCCTATTTTGGGTTGGGTATTTTCAAGACAGGGTCTTAGGAACCATTTGTCCAGGCTGGACTAGAATCTCAGTCCTCCCAATCCTGCCTCTGGAGTAGCTGCGATTATAGTGTGAGCTTACAATGACTTTATGAAGTAGGCGGTGCCGTGTACATCCCATGGAGTTAAGCAAAACAGGCTAGAGGTTAAATTACCAGACCACAGTCTGGAGAAGTGCTGGGACCGTCAGGCTTTGACTTCTGCCAGACAATGCCCTCCTCTATCATTCTGTGGTCCAGCCTCAATCATAAGCCCAGATGACCTTAATCCGAGAGAGGCAACTGGGCAATACTACATCCTAGCTCAAGGGTCTGTTTCTGAAAAGAAAGTGAATCCTGAAAATGAAGGTGCAGACAGTTGGGGGCTTCCTAGCAAAACCTCACTGTATTCTGAAGCCAGGTCAGTAGGCCATCAAGACAGGTCAATCTGGGAAAAGGAGGGTGTTTGCCGGCTTTCCTTCTCCTGAACAAGGCAGACCAGGATCTGGAAGCATTAGACACTTTGATAAACCAATGTTCCTTTTTGATTTTCCTATTTATCCAATACCACCTGTACAAAAGGTTTGTGGTAGTCAAAGGCACAAAACAGGGTGTGGTGGCCACGCCTGTAATCCCAGCACTTGGGATGAGAAGGATTAGGCAGGAAGATTTTGAGTTTGAGGCCAGCCTAGGCCACATATCAAGACCCTATCTTACCACCCATCTCCCCCTTAAAAAATATATATGTAAAAAATATAATTAAAAAAAATATATATAAATGCAGAGAGTTAGGATCAGGATAAAGAGATGGAAGAAGCTGGGCATGGTGGCATGTCTGCAATCCCAGCGCTGTGGAGGCTGAGTTAGAAGGGTCATGGGCTCAAGCAGTAGAGCACCTGCTTAGCAAGCATGAAGGCCTGAGTTCAAACCCCAGCACCACCAAAAAAAGAGGATAATGAGTTTGAGGTCAGTTTGGATAGTGGGACCCCAGTCCCCAGCCCTTTCTTCTTCCTTCTTTTTCTCAGTGCTGAGCATTAAACCTAGAGCCATATCCATACCTAGCCTCTCTTCCTTTTTTTTACACCTAGGCCATATGCAAGCCAGCTTCTTCCACCATGGATCTCCTGCCATGATGTGTTGCCTCGCCATAGACCCCAAAACAATGGGACAACTGACTGGACTAAAATCTCTCAAAATAACCGCCCCCCTCCTTTTTTTTTTTTTCAGCAGACTAGGGTTTAAACTCAGGGCTTCACACTTGCAAAGCAGATATTCTACCACGTGAGCCACACCTCCAGTCCATTTTGCTCTGGTCGTTTTGGAGATAGGGTCTCACTATTTGCTTGGGTTGGCCTCAAACCACACTCTTCCTGATCTCAGCCTCCCAGGTACATAGGATTACAAGTGTGAGCCACTGGCACCTGCCTGACCTTTCCTCTTTTTAAGTGCATTATCTGCAATATTTCGTTACAGTAACAGAAAGCTGATTAATATAGAAGCTAACTCAATTTTATAAAAACTTCAGATGTGAATGTCTATGGTAGCTTTCTTTCTTTCTTTCTTTTTTTTTTTGGTGATACTGGGGTTTGAACTCAAGGCCTTATGCTTGCTAGGCAGGCATTCTGCCACTTGAGCCACTCCACCAGCCCTCATTTGTGTTAGATATTTTCAAGATAGGGTCTCAAAAACTATTTGCTTAGGCTGGTTTCAAACCAATGTCCTCCTGATTTCTGCCTTCATAGTAACTACAGGCATGAGTAAGCCAATAACGCCCAGCCATGGTGGCTTTTGTTTTAAGGGTGGGAATCAGGAGGGGACATGACAAAGCCTGCTGGGCCTGGCTGGGAACATTCTGTGTTTTGACCTGGGCTAGTTGACATGGGTGTGTACAGTTTGTGGATGCTTCATAATGCCATATGAAAAGAGAAACACCAGCATGCTGAATACGAGAAGAGACTGTAAAATCATGCCTCCAGCCTAGACTTCATAGATGGGACACGGTTACAAGTTCTGAAGTGAGACAGCAAAGGAAGTTAGGTTGTCATGAAAGGGAAGTGCTGAGGCCCCTGCAGTGATTAACATTAAGTCAGAAATCCAGGTTGGAGGGCTGGCAGAGGGGCTCAAATGGTACAAGTGCCAGCCTAGCAAGTGTGAAGCCCTGAGTTCAAACCCTAGTGCTGCCAAAACAGAAAAAGAAATCTAGTTTGGAGGTTCCCAGTAGCACAGAAAAATGGGAAAGGAAAATATAGTCATTGGTATGGTAAGCCAGACCAAGATGGGAAAAAGAAACATATACCTTCAAAAAGCTTCCTAGGCACACAGGGTTGAAGTTTTGCCCTTGGGTGAGGTGAGGGTCTTATTTTTATGTCTCTGGTTTATTTTATGTTTTTTGGCTTGATGTAATGTGGAAAGAAACTTCCTCTCCTCCACAGAGCCTTCTCCTTGGCATAGAGGCCTCCCAGTCTTGCCCAGCCCTCCTACCCCTTGCCTGGAATGTGAACAAACCTGCTGGAGAAACAAAAACACAACTGAGTGCTTTCCAAGGCCCAAGCAGCTGGCAGCAAAGGCTGGAAGCCTCAGGGCAGCTTACCGTGCATGTCCATCATCCCTGGGGAGGAGCTATTCTCTGGAGTGGTCACCTCTGAGCCACACTTCTCATCTTTGCCTTTCTTCTTATTCTTGTTTTTCTGGAGGGGAAAATGGAGCAGAAACAAAATCACTGAATTGTGTGTGTGTGTGTGCACATGCACGAATGACCCTGGGGACTGGTATGAATATTTTATTCCATCAAATCAACTCAGAGGTCCTGAGCCACGGTGGGGTTTTCTTCAAACTGCATTGGAACATGTTCCACTAAAGGCTGAGCTCTGAACCCTGCCCAAGTTGGAATAAAGAGCCCCACAGAGGGGAGATGTCTGGGGCTGGCCCAGCTGAAATGCCATGGGAAATAATTCCACCTGTCTGTGGGGCTGTCATCAGTGGGCATGCAAACACCCTGGATGACAGGAATTGCGTCCTCCTCTAGGGAGAGTAGCTGGGGAAGAGGCCACGGTCACTGCCAGCCAGAGCAGGTGCAATGTGATACCAGGTGAGCCTGGAAAAGACAAAAAGTCACTTATTTCCAGCATTTTTGGGCCCATGGGGATGCCTTTCTCAAAGGGTTAAGAAGGAGAAAAATCCTGGACAGAGAGAGGGGGGAATGTAAGGGATACTTTTTGGGTACTGTTTTTATTTTCAGAGCTGGGCTCAAACCCAGGGCCTCATACGTGCTAACGAGTGCTCTGCCACTGGGCCACACCACCAGCCCCCATTTTCATCATAGGAAGAGAACCACATTAGAAGCTACCAAACTATGCTCATTGGCAAGGGATTCCTTAAATAAATTATAGTACAACTATTCAATGTAGTATAACAGTTTCAGAGACTAAGGAGCTCTTTTCACATACTAATATAGAATAATCCGTAAAAATATTTACATTAGAACATTTCGGTATCTTCAAGATGTATAAAAAGAAAGGCATAGAACATGTGGCCACCACTAATGGGGGAAAAGGAGAAGAAACACATGTGTTTTCATGTATGCTCGTGCCTCTCTTGCACAGGCCTCTCTGGAAGGAGGCACACAAACTGGAACACTGGTTGCCCTCCAAGAAAGAGAACTGGGGTGTGGGATGTGTGTAGGGACAGAAGGCAGAAACAAGGTAAAACATTTAGGGCTAGGGACAGCTCAAGTTGGAGAGCCGGTGGCCTAGCAAGCAGCCCCAGTACCACCAAAAACAACAACAAAAAGTAACATTTAAACAACACACAGATGCACAGAGACAGAATGCAGAATGGTGATTACAGGGAATGGGAGGGTGACTGCTAACATGTATGAGTTTTCTTTTGGGATGATGAAAATGTTCTGCTCTTATAGTGGGGTGGCTGCACAGCTATGTGTACACTAACACTACTAACACTAAATTGTACACTTTTAAAGAGTGGATTTGCATTCAGGGTGTATCTTAGCAGTTGAGCACTTGCCTAGCAGAATGAGGCCCAGGGCTCCGTCTCTGGTATGTGAATCAACTAACCAAATGTTTTCTTTTTTGGTGGGACTGGGGTTTGAACTCAGAGCTTCACACTTGCAAAGCAGGTGCTCTATTGCTTGAGCCATGCCCATTTCGCTTCAGTTGTGTTGGAGACGGGATCTCCAGAACTGCTTGCTTGGACTGGCCTCGAACTTCAGTTCTCCCCTTCTCAGTCACCCAAGTAGCTAGGATTACAGGCATGAGGCACCAGCACCTGACTTTTGTTTTGTTTTTAATATTTTGAGGCAGGGCCTCACTATATAGCCCAGACTGGCTTTGAATTTGAATGAATTTTCCACCTCAGCCTCCCAGTTGCTGAGATTATAGATGTGCACTACCACACCTGCCTAAAAAGACTGCTTTGAAAGTAACATTTCAATTTTGAAATACGTCTTACCTATTTAAAAGAATGAAAAATTTAAGCGTTCTAAAATAAAAAGAACAGTGTTACCATATAGTAATTAAGTACTTTCTAAAACAATAAAAAAGCTGTCCCTTCACAATGCAGAGTCCTGGCCCCAACCACCACAGATTCTCAATCAGCTGTCTGGGACAGGGCTCAGGAACTGCATTTTATCAGGATGCTCATCAGGCTGGGAGACCATGGCCTTCGAGGGAAAGAGGGGTGGGTGAAATGTGCCTCAGACATGATGGGAATTAGCAATTTTGGAGCACTGTGCTAAGAATTCTCTGGGTGCACTTGCAGGGTACAGAAAACCCATGAACTCCTTATCATTGCTCTACTGCACAAAAGGGGAGCAGAGACCCTGCATGGTGAGGTGACCTGCCCAGCCTTGAAGCTTAACCAGGGCCACTTGGCTCAGCCCGCAGCTGTCCCGTCCTTCCGATGGCCCGTTTATTACATTTTCTCCTTCGTCATATTCCATTTGGCACGTCCCTGATGTCTGTTTCACGATATTCTATAATTATCTTCCCCCAACGAGATTAGAAATTCCTTGAGAGCAGGGACCACATCACCTCAAATGTAACTGGTATTTCCACACCAGCTAATGATGAGCAAGACCCAGGCGTGGGCTGGAGCCAGGAGCTGCCTTCGAGGAGCCAGGCTGCCCTGTTCTTTTTCCGAAGACTGGCAGAGGGAACAAGTCTTGGTCCCTTTGTGGGGAGGAGCCCTGGTAGATCCAGACATCCAGGCCAGAACCAGAAGAGATGACAAATGCCTAAGTTTTTGCCCCAGCACTAATGGTGTCTGGAGCCCGAAGACTGCTGGGGCAGATAAGTGAAGATGGGGGATCAAGGCTTAGTGCCTGTCTTTATTGAGAAAGCTGCACCCCCAAGGTTCCCCTTTAGTGAAACTTGTCAATCATGGCCACCTCACTCCCAGTAGTGGCTGGAGTAGCAGGAGTTGGTCAAAGACACCTTCCTAGATGAAAGAACTGTGTATGGTCAAAGAGGGAAGGCAGCCCGAGAAAGGGGAACAGCCTGTGCAAGACATTTAGGTGGAGCCAGTCTAGATTTTGACCAGAAACAAGAGTAGTTGACCTGGGGTCTTTGGAGGGAGCTGAGAAGCTTCAAAACCCTGTCTGTGATGTGGGGCAGCTGCCTGCAGGAGTCCTTCCCCAGGATCCAGCACAGCCTTCCCAGCTCCCTCTAGTGGTCGCAGTCAGCAGCATGCCCCCTCCAATCCTCCCAATGCCACTCTCAGTGCCCCAGGCATCCCTGAACCAGGCTCTCTCTAACTCCTGGGGCCACCTGCCACCAACAGCCCTAACCTAATTAGAAGCCTCTCTAAGAGCAGAGAGCGTGTGCACCTTGGAGTCAGACAGACCTCGTGCCTCCCAGCTACCACTGGCCTCAGGGTCCCATGATGGCAAGTGATAGTAGACGGTCTTTCCCCTCAGTGGGAGGTCCCACCCCAGGGGAACAGCTCCCCATACTCACATCATCAACCTTTGGCTCCGTCACAGGGACCCACTTGTAGATTCGTAGGGATGTGTCACCGACAGTCACCCACTTCTTCTCCCTGCAGAAACAAGGGGGCTTCAGGAACTGGACCTTGCTCATCCCTGTGTGGGGAGCACAGGTCATAGCTGCAACATGGTGGCTACTTAGTTCAGTGGCTAAGAGAACAAGCTCTAATTGCACAAAACCTTGGGTTCCTCACTAGCTGGGGAACCCTGGGCAAGTCACTTAGCCAATCCAAGCCTCATGCTGCCCTGGAAGGGGATGCAAGGGCAGAGAACATGAGTGATGATCCCAAGCTCTCCTGGCAACTGCCCTTTGGAACAACCTGGAGGAGCCAGACAGCAGAGGCCTGGACCACAAGGAGGGTCACCAGGGGCTGGCACAAGAAGCTCAGAATGCATTCTGAACACCTGGAGGACAGAGTCCAGGCTCCTGGCTGCAAGTGTGAGGCCCTGAGTTCAAACCCCAGTACCACAAAAAAAAAAAAAAAGGAAAAGATGGGACTGGTTTCATTAAAATTACTGTGCTCTCTATTCCCACCATGCTGCTCCAAGACATCACTATTTCTAGATTATTGTTGCGGCCACCAAACTTCTGTCAGACTATGTCATTTCCTGCCCCAAACGCTCCGAGGCCATGCACTCGAGGAGGTCAGGGCTCCGGGGGAACCCCCAGAGGCAGAGCTGAGGTCCAAACCGCAACAGCCTGGGCTCTGGCTCTCAGAGTGGTAGGAGGTCACCAATGATCTGCTGACACTTCAGTGAGGAGTCTGGCTGAGTCAAGGACCTACAGTGGGATGCTGGGGTCAGACGCATACCTGGCACAGGTAGCAAAGCCACCAAGGTGCCCTAGGCAATTTCAGTGACTACAGACCCGATGGAACCCAGAAATATGAGGGGCATGAGGACATCTGTCTGTGAACTTCCTGACACCTTTTGTGAACTCTTCACCCAAATTTAACTTTGGGTATTCCCCTCTGTGGGTGCATGCCCTCACATGGTACTGTGACACAGCACAGCATTCCCATCTCCGTCACCACAGAGGCTTCTTGGGCCCGAGCACATTCAAAACCAGCTAACCAAAGCCACACCCTCCATCCCCAAATTGCCCACTCTGGTGCCACATGTTCCTGCCAGCGGAAGCAAGGACCCAGTTTTTACTACCATATTAGAGACAATTGTAGTGTCATCCATGTGCTAAGCTCTAGACCTACATGCTCTACTCTTTACATAATTGCGCGTGGCAACAAGTGTTACCTTCCCCACTTGACAGATACATCTGTAGCTAGAAAACATCTATGGGAATAGACATAAAGCCATCCCCCACACCGAATTAGTCAGGAAAGAATGGTATCACAGCAGGTAGGTATCTGCGTGGCCAAGTCCCTTTACTTCCCCTCCCCCAAGACAGAATTCACAAGCCACAGCCCCAATCTTTCACCATCTCCCATTCTGAAAAATCAGAAGGTGCCTGAAGGGATGGGACATTCCCAGCACAACCTCAGTGACAAACAGAGCCACAATAATAACAGTCACTGTGTACTGCGTGCAAGCTCCCTTCCAAACACTCCATTTATAGGCCTCTCAGAGATTCCCAACAGGCCAAGGGAGGGACTACAGCCACTCCATCTTATAGATGGGGAAAGGGAGGTCCATGGACACACAGAAAGTGGCAAAGTTGGATGCAGGCATTGACCTGAGTCCACCTTTTGCTATTCTGTTGTCCATGAAAACTAAGAATTTGTTCCAAGGAGTACCCAGGTAATAGAAGCTGGACAAAGAAACAAAGATTGCTGGAATCCCACGCAAATAGCCAAAACCACTCAGTACTCACAAGCTCTCAACTAGTTTTTGCAGCCTGGACCCAGGAAATCAACACATTCAAAGTTTGATAATGTTTAAAAAAATGTATCTTGATTGGCTTGCAACAGCAGGACACCATTCAGGGCAGAAAGCAAGCCAGATTTCTGGGCTTTGCAGGCTGACACAGCCATGATGAATGTCTCAAGTTCCCATCCTCCAGGGGGCTTCAGGCACTGTGGACCATGCACTGCCCCAGCTGGCAACCCTGAGTCATCTCAGAGACAGGAAACATTCTTCAGCTGCATTCCTGCATCAGACATTGAGGGAACTTCAGGACAGAGGCAAGGGCTTTAAGAACCTGACCTTGGAACTGACCTCTGACTTGGAACTGACCTGGCCAGTGGCCTCCCAGGGAGAGGGAGGAGCTGGGATGTAAATCAAGATGTAAGTCACTGAGGGAGCTCCTGGGATTTCACAGATGTCAAACAGGGTGCACAGGCTTGGGGGAGCAGCTGAGATTTCCCACACTGCCCCCCAAGCCCTTCAACACAGAACACTGTCCCTCCCCCATGAGGGTACTAGATTGTTCCCATTACCCTACAGCTAGGGTGACAAGCAGCCAACAGGCGTGTTTTGTTTGGCCTGCGTAATACTTTTAAAAATCTGAATCAATTGCCAAACTTAAAAAAAAGAGACTCCACATAAAAAGACAGATTTCTGGCTACTCTCAAAAACACAATCTGGGCCCACATGCTCCAAGGAGTGACAGTTTACTCCAGATGCCACACTGGGGCTCCCTTAGAGACCCCTTCTCCAGCCACCTGTAGGCACTGGGGCAAGGATTCATGTGACCACAGGCTGTACCCAACCTAGATTGAAACTGCCCTAAGCACACCCTCAGCCCTCCTGCCTCCATGGTCTCCTGGTAGCCAACTTGGCTTCAGCATCTCTCTCTTCCCATCAGACTTGGATTCCTGGGATGATGCAGAAATATATCCTCCAACATTCCTCCCCAGCACTGGCTCCTATATAAACAGCAATACCCCTCCCAGATTCTCCAGGTCAAGGCCAATTTGCAATGTTCTTTCTTGGTCCAGGAGAGCTATAGCCAAGGTGACCACATGGGGATCACCCACTGTACAAGGGGACCCTGTAAATCCAGAAAGAGCTCTCTGCCCCTCATTTTGTATTCCTACAGAGCTAGTCCCTGACACCTTTAAGGCTGGCCTCATCCTAACCAGGCTCAGGTCCACTTCACCTGCATGTGTCTGGCAGGAAGAGACCTCTGTCAAACCCCTAGGGGAGCCAGGTGAAGTCCCAGACTCAGATCTCCACCTCTCCCAGGAACGGTGGGAAGTCCCTGGGAAGCAGGCCTCTGTCTTCACAGCAAGTCAGTGAGGGGGTCTGGGGCTTGTACTCACTGTGCTGCTCAAGCGTTTGACTTCTCCCTAATGACTCCTCCATCTACACTAGGCCCAATTTCCCAAATAGGGACCCACCATTTTGTTTCCCTTCAGCCATCTTCTGGCCATCTCACACTCTACCAGTCAGCCTTGCTGGGACATCAGACACAAAGGAGAGGAAAAACAGCTGGCAGCTACAGACAGGGAAGCTACAGCTAACTGCTGGCTTTTTCTGTGGGGCCAGGGGTCAAGGTAGGGCTGGCAGGGTTACTGAGGCTGAGAAGAAACACCATCCCAGGCTTGTAGATAGATGGGTATGCCAGACACCTCAGCTGTCTTCTGGATCAAATACAGGATGCCTAGTTACATCTGAATTTCAGATAAATTCAATAGCACTTTTTTGGTATAAGTATGTCCCAAATATTGATTGCATGGGATATACTTATACTAAGAAACTTCTTTTTTTTTTTTTTTGTGCTGGGGATCAAACCATGTATTCTACCCTCAGCAGAAACTCTTTTTCCTGGTAGTATTGGGGGGTTGAACTCAGGGCCTTATGTTTGCTAGGCAGGCATTCTAACACTTGAGCCACTCCAACAGAAACTTCTTTTTTTTTTGATATAGGGTCTCCCAAACTATTTGCCTGGGCTGGCTTCAAACTTGATCCTCCTGATCTCTGCCTTCTGAGTAGCTAGGATTACAGGCATGAGCCAACAGCTGCCTGGCAGAAACATTTATTTTTAAAAATTACTTTGTTGTTTATCTGAAATTCAAATTTAACTGGGTGTTCTGTATTTTTATTTGCTCAGTCTGGCAACCCCAAGCCCCAGCCAGTGATGAAATGCATGGTTGGTAACCACAGTTAATAAACAACCCCAAAGCCTTCAGGGCTGACTGACCAGCAGACCCAGTCCAAAGGCACAGCCAGGCCAGGTTCAGTTCTCAGGGGCTGGAGAAACCAGGCAATAGGACCTTGCCTTTTGCTTTAAAGGAGCAAAAACAAAGCAAAACCCCAAAACCAAACAAACAAAAGAAAGCCAAATTTCTGCAAAGTCCACTTTATAGGAAGGGCATGTTTCCATGTACTCCTGTGAGCTTTGAAGACATGACAATACCAATCCTAAACAGGATTAGGTGGGGAAGGGGGTAAAGAGGCCCTTGCTGCCAGAGTTAGAGAAGTGAGTTCCACGTTTTGCCCAAGGTCACACACAGCAAGGAAGTAAAGTGGAAGACCAACCAAGAGATCTCAAGGCCTGAAGTCTTTAGGTGCTGCTTCCCAAAATACAGGGAAGAAGCCAGACACAGTCCCACCCCAAACCCAGGCCTGGCCTGAAGCGGCTGGCCAGGATGGCAGCCCCAGGCTGGCTGTTCTGGGTCTGCAGAGTGGAAAGCCCCATCTGCCCTCCCTGCAGAGCAGCTGGCAGCCTTGGGCGCAGCTGTCACAGGGTGCAGGAGCCAGGGCCCGGCTGGGAACCTGGGGCAGTAGGCCCCGCCACGCCTCCAAGAGCAGAGAAAGGCAGCTTGCTTGGCTCTTTCTATCCTCCAGGCAGACAGAAGGGACTCAGGCCCTGACACACCACTTCTTTCTTTACACAGGGGCTGAGGCAGGGAGGAGGACAACTCCAGCCCTCCCACTGGGAGTCCCACAGGAGAGGGGGTTGTGGGTTGTTTTCCTGTGTGTGTTTTGGCCTGCAGCTGTTTCTGCCATTTTTAAATGGCTCCAGTTGGGCACTGGGCGCCCTGTGAGGCAGGGGAGCTCCCGCAGCACCCACGACTTGGATCTCAACTTTGGAAAGCCTACCCTTCTCACGGTTGTGAAAATTCTTTGTCCCATTGGAGCCAAACCCAGCCCACGGCCGGGCATCCGGCCATCCGCAGACAGCCCTTTCCATAGGAGGCCCCGGAGCACGTGGACTTTATTGATTTTCCCCTAGCCTTTTTTGTTGGGTTTGACTCAGAAAGGACAGCTAACTTGTGACACCGCCAGCCTGGAGACTGGCCCCCAGTGGTTTTTAGAGACAGAGGTGTTACTCAAGAAATGGCACCGCCCCCCCCTTCCCATAGAAACAAGAGCCTGCAGTGGGGAGCCTGGCCAGTCTCTAGGCTTTAAATAAAGGATCTGGGCGATCCCGCGGGCGCTGTGACACTGTCGCGGCTGCTCCTCTCTCTCCCCGAACCCTGGTGAAGCCGTGGGAAAAACATAATAAAGTTGTAATCCGGGAGCGGGGAGTTTTCAACAAGTCCGACCCAGCCTGGCGATCTGCTTGCGCCTCGGGCCAGGCCCTGGGGTCGCTTCCGAGTCAGACCCCGATGAAGCCATGAAAATGTCCCATCCTACTAATGATAACAAGGCCACGATCCAATTTGAGCGTGAAAAACATGCATGGCCCACCCCGAATCTCGCAGTCGTCCCGTTCCCCCCCACCCCAGCACAGAGAACAAAAACAACGGCTCTCTTCACAAAACAAACAGAGGCTCCGGCTTGGGGGAAACGGCAGACACGGCCCAGGACCGGCTCCTAACCCCAAATCTCGGTTCACCCCGCACCCCGCCTCGGCAAGGACGCCGCGCAGAGCGGGTGGGATGTGGGTGCCCTTGCGCCCCGTGCCCGCCCGCGCCGCTGCCTCCCGGCGCTCGCACCCCCCATCTTTCTTCCTCGCCAAGAACCCTCGCTCCTCGCTCCAGGCAGCCCAAAGCGCTAAATTTAAACGGCTCGCGCTCTGCAAACTCCGCAGACTCGAGGGCGCCGGGCCTGGGAGGCGGGGAGCGGCGGGCGGGTGCGCGAGCGAGCGAGCGAGCGAGCCGGGAGGGCAGGGAGGGCGGGAGGCTGGCGCGGGCCGGGGCGCGGGGGCCGGCGCTGCGCCGCCCCGGGGCGCACGGGGAGGAGACGACGGCGGCGGCCCGTTCGGTGTCTGCACAATGGAGCTCACGCTCTGCCCCGCCACCGTCACCGCCGCCGCCGCCGCCGCCGGCATCGCGGCCCCGGCGCGCGGGAAGCCGCTTTCATGTGACTTGCACAAAACGAAATGGCTTCTGGGGCCGGCCCCGAGCCCCCCTCCCGGGAGCCGAGCGCCGCGGCGGGGGCTGCCCGCTGGTCCAAGGCGCCCGGCCCCGGGGCGCCCGCTGCCTCTAAGGCTGCTGCTGCCACCGCCGCCGCGCCAGGTGGGCGACAGGCGCGAGCGCACCTGGGCAGCGGCCGCGGCCCCCGCCTGGCGCAGGTGACCCGGCTCGCGCACCGCCCGCCCTCCTCAACTCTGGGCCCGCGGGCGGCCCGGAGCGCTGCGCCCCACGGCTTTCGGTACCGGGTGTGGGGTTCCCGGTGGCCGCGGCGCCGAGCAGCGAGCGAACGAACGAGCAGGCGCCTCGGCTTACCATTTGCGCACTTTCTCGATAGCCGCCATGACCCTCTTGATATCATCTTTGGCCCGGCTCCTGGTCTCGGCTCGAACCGACCTGCCCGACATGGTTCTGGCGGGGAGAGAGAGGCTGTGGGGAGCGCGCCCGCCGGGTCCTGCTCGCGCTCCGCGGCGGCCACACTCGCGCCCGCCCGCTCACTCACTCGCACAGACACTCACACACTCACACACACACACACACACACACACACACAAAGCCTGCCGCCGCCGCGCGCCCGGGGCCCAGTGCGCAAGCGCCGGGCGCCAGCTGCACCGAGCAGGGGGAGCAGCGCCGCCGCGGCCGCCAGCAGTGCGGCCTCCGGGCGCCGCCGCCACCGCCACCCGCCCCCGGAGCCGCCTGGACCCCCGACCCAGGGGCGCCCGGCGACCCCGATCCCCTGTGCGCGGAAGAGGCGGGCGCGCGGACTCACTCGGGAGGCCGCAGGTGCCGTGAGGACCCCCGGGCACCAAAGGCTGCTGGGGTGGCCGGTCAGGCAGGGGGTGCGTTCCATGGGAGCCACCTGGGCCGCCAGTGCGCTGCCCCGCGTTTGTGGCAGCGGGTGCAATAATGCAAGTTTCCTGTGGGTCTCCTGACTTCTGAGAGTTGGAGGCGGCGATTCGCGACGCGAGGTGTGCTCTTGCAGAGTTGGGAGACACGGATCTCTGCTGGTCCACTGGTCCTCTGGGACTGCTGAGCTTGGATGTCCGGCTCCCCAGGCTTCGCCCCTTTGGGTCTCAGGAAAGGCGCCTGGAGCCCAGTGATTATCAGCATTGATACTAGGATTCTTCCTTTCCTTCCCCTTTCCTCCCCCTCCCCCCATAAGTTGCCCTGTCACCCACAGGTAAGGTGAGTGGCCTCGATGGGTACTGTTAAGCCGCTGCTTGTGTAAGTACCGGGCTCAGACCAGGTGCTGCTGCTGTACTACTGACCTGAGCAGGTACCATGGACTGGCCGGCCTACAAGGAGGACTTTTGAGGACTGTCCCCTCCCCCTCAGGCGTCAGCGTAGAGCTCTCTAGCGGAATCTACGCTGATCAGTCGGGATAACCAGGTGTCACCTGTGTGCTCAGCTGTGGCCAAACCGAGTTGACCAGAGCAAATGCCTGCCCAGGTGGATACTGGGAAAAGAGTGACCTAATGCGAGCAAGTCCAATGCCTGGAGAACTAACCCAACATGAGTTATTTCACAGAAGGGGAAACTGAGTCTCAGGGAAGTGCAAGATTCAGCCATACGCTGTATCTGTGACTACCACTCATTCTGGTACCAAGCATTTTCCCCTTTTTTGGGGGAGAGAGGGGAGTTACTGGGGATATGGACAGTGAGTGTACTGAGTATGTACATATATGTGGATATAAATATATATAGAGAGATAATTTTTTTATGGGACCAGGGTTTGATCTCAGGGCTTTACACTTGCAAAGTAGGTGCTCTATTACTTGAGTCACTCTGCCAGCTCCTTTTTTGGTTGGGTATTTTTTGAGACAGGGTCTCCAGAACTATTTACCAAGGCTGGCCTCAAACTCTGATCCTCCTGGTCTCAGCCTCCCAAGTAGCTAGGGTTACAGGTGTGAGCCACCTGTGCCTGGCCCCTAAGCATATCTTGTTACCATTCTGAAATGCAAGCTACTAATGTGAAAAATAAAGAACTACTACTGCAGAGAACAATTTTGAGAGTAATATGGGAAAAAAATTTAACAGCAGGTCACAAATCAGAAGTGTCATACTTTTGACCTTCTGACTACATCTGGCCATCAAATAGATGCTTTAGGCCACAGGGAACGTAGTGCTGGGTGTTAAACCCAGGGAACTGAACCCATGGCCTTGCTTATGCTAGGCAAGCACTACCATTGAGCTACTCCAAATATCAACTGATGGAAAATGTATCTATCCACACAATGAAATATTATTCAGCCACAAAAAGGGAATGAATAAATACTAAAAGGAAGTACTGACACATGCACATGCTTGAAAACATGCTAAGTGACAGCAACTGAGCACACAAGGACAAATATTGTATCAAGCTATCAAGACTAGGCAAATCCACAGTGATAGCAAACAGATTGGTGGATACCAGTTTACTGGAGGAGGAAGGGTGGAGTAAAGGCTACCAGGCATAGGGTTTCCTTTTGGATGATGCAAAATTTCTGGAGCTAGATAATGATGGTTTTATGAATGTCCTAAATGTCACCCAATTATACACTTGAAAATGGTTATAAGCCGGGCACCAGTGGCTCATGCCTGTAATCCTAGCTATTCAGGAACCAGAGAAGAGGAGGATCTCAGTTGGAAGCCAGCTGGGCAAATAGTTTGCAAGATCCTATCTCGAAAAAACCCAACACGAAAAGGGCTGGTGGAGTGGCTCAAGGTGTAGACCCTGAGTTCAAACCCAGTACCACCAAAAAAAAAAAAAAAGAAAGAAAATGGTTACAATGGCCAATATGACCACCATGTGAATTTGGTCCCATAAATTCAATTATCCAGCTTCAGAGCCAACAGGCACATTCAAAGACTGGGCCCCAATGCTACATAGCAACGATCAGCTGGAGCTGAGTGGCCTCTAGGTGACCAGGGTACCTTCTGTGACCTGTCTGGGCCGTGAAGGTATTTGGGTTTTTTGATTCATGGTTAAACCATAAAGCTTTTCACAAATGTTCTTTATAAATCTAGTGTGTCACTGTTTATAGTTTCCTGTCGCTGCAGACATTTTTAAACTTCTTTCAACGAAGCACAGTTGTTTTATAGCTTGTGTCTGACAATTCTAATATTTGAAGTATCCGAGGGTCTCTTTCTGCTAGATCTTGCTCATGGTGTCATATTTCCTTGTTATATGCCTGGTTCTTTTTGACCATGCTGGACACTGTATTTTAAAATTTATTTACGGGGGTAATTTGAGGCCTTTCTCTAGAGATGATTTACATTTGCTTTTGCCAGGCTCCTGAAGTCAACTGCTACTTCAAGACTACCTCAACCCAAGTTCAGGATTTGTGGTTTTCTTGGCCATCCAGGGGAAGCTAGAACAGGCTGAGTATGGCACAAGGCTGGTTCGCATGTTGTACTCTGAAGGTGGAGTCTGTGATGTGATGCAGTCAACTTACAGACTTGTGTTTCCTTGGACTTGTGGCATGGCTCAAGTGGTACAGCATCTGCCTAGCAACCATAAGGTCCTGAGTTCAAACCCCAGTACCACCAAAAATAAAATAAAAGGGTCAGACTTGTGCTTTCTAGCTGCGTTTAGTAACTTCATCATGTTGACAATTCAAAATCATCCACGGGACCCCGATGACAGTCCCATCCATGGTGGGAATATAGGTAGCATGGGAAGTGGCAAATGCTACCCCTCTCGGAGCCGGCTATTGAATACTTAGCACATCACTGGTGGAGCCTGATGGAGGTGCTACGTTATTGTGGGGGAGATCTCCCACTGAACGTGGGCCCTGGACTTTAATTTCCCGGCCATTCATAGTCAAGTTCAAAAGTGCTAGGACTGACAGACATCTGCGGGGCCGGTGAGACTTCCTTGCTGGTTACCTTTCAGCATTTCTTTTCAGTTTTGGACTACTTATTCCTTACTCTCTTGTCAGCATGTAAAAGCATGGCTTTTAAGATATTTTCAAATACTTTTTTTTTTTTTTTAAGATACGTGCTATGTAGGTAGCCCAGGTTGGCTGCAAAGGCTATATCCTCCTATCTAAGCCTCCCAAGTGCTGGAATTACAGGTGTGAGTCACCACACCTAGATCTTTTTTTTTTTTTTTTCAATACTGGGGCTTGAACTCAGGATCTACATCTTGAGCTACACAACCAGCCCTTTTTTGTGATGGGTTTTTTTGAGGTAGGGTCTTTCGAACTATTTGCCCGGGCTGACTTCTAACCTGATCCTCCTGATCTCTGTCTCCTGAGTAGCTAGGATTACAGGCATGAGCCACCAGCACCCGACCCTAGATCCTTTTTTAAGCTTTTTAGTTCGTGTCAGCTTGAGAGTCTGAGCAACTATGTACCAAAAACTGGAAGTCAAGCTCTCTACGACTGTTAGTATTCTAGACATGTTAAGAATGAAAGATGAGTTGGGCGCCAGGTGTTTCACACCTATAATCCTATCTGTTCAGGAGGTAGAGATCAAGAGATCACTGGTTTGAAGCCAGCCCCAGGCAAATAGCTCTCAAGACCCTATCATGAAAATACTTCAAGCCGTAGAGCACCTGCCTAGCAAGAAAGAAGTCTTGAGTTCAAATCCCAGTACCACCAAAAACAAACAAGCCAACAAAATAACCAGAGCAAAGTGGACTGGAGGAGTGGCTCAAGCAGTAGAGCACTTGCTATGCAAGTGTGAAGCCGAGTTCAAGCCCCAGTTCCAAAAAATAAATAAATAAATAAATAAAAGAAGAAGAAGAAAGATGAGCTAGACACATGGCTCACACTTATAACCCTAGGTAATTGGGAGGTGGAGATTAGGAGGGTTGTGGTTCAAGACCAGCCTGGGCAAAAAGTTCTGAAGACTTGATCTCAACCAATAAAAAGCTGGGCGTGGTGGTGCACACCTGCCATCCCAGCTAGGTGGGGAAATAATCCAGGCCTGTCTGGGCATAAATGTGAGACTCTATTTGAAAAATAATTGGAGCAAAAAGAGCTGGAGGCCTAGATCAAGTATTGCCTAGCAAGTGCAAGACCCTGAGTTCAAACCCTAGTACCACCAAAAGAAAAAAAAAGATACAAATAAAAGATGATCCCAGGCTACAGAAGTGAGTTGTGGCTTGTGTCAAATGTCTTCACCTCTCTTTGTCTCATCTGTAAAATAAGGATGAAAATAAAAAGTTGTTACAAGGATTAAACAGGGTATTTAAGTGCTTGCACCAGTGGGCACTTGAGTGTTTGCTGGCAAGATGAAGCTCCACCCTAGAGACCGAAGTCCAACTCCCCACTTTCCTGGGTTGCTAAATTCAACTCTGAATCAACCCCTGCCTTAGGCGTCCCTCCAAGGCGGGGGCTGGCTCACCACCCTGGGGTGGAGGAGCTTTCCATCTCTGGAACAGAGATGTGTAATTGTGAGGGAGAGTGCCCAGCCTTGGCGCTCTCTGCCACCTAGCAACTCGCAAGGGCAAAAGTGTATGGCTTTCATACACAGAGGTGCTCTGGGGTTTAGGGAGCCAGGCCCAGCAAAGGGGGAGAAGTTTGAAAACTCTAACCACAGAATGAAATACAATCCCTTCCCTGAGACAGGAACTGAAAGGATATGCTACAGGGGATGAAACAGACCATTGAGGCCACCTTCATCCTTTTATAGAAAAGAAAGCTAAAATGGCTCACACCTGTATCCCATCTCAACCAGTAATCTGGGCATGATGGTGAGCACTTATAATCCCAGCTACTTGGGAGGCAAAGGTAGGAGGATCTGTTCTGAGGCCAGCCCCAGGCAAAAACATGAGACCCTAACTATAAAAATAACTTT